CAGGACCAAAAAAACACGTTTGCAGGATGGAGGATCACTTAGTTTACAAGAGGCGATGGTTTTGATGGCAGACCGGGGACTTGGTGGTCAGGATTGCGAGGAAACGTCTGGGAGTGGTGCTCGTACGAATGCAGGCGAGCCGCACGTTCGGCTCTGCAGCAACTGCAAGAAGCCCGGCCATAACGTACGAACTTGTCAAGTAGGTTGCGAGACGCCTGAGGAAAGCGATTCCGAGTAGTTTCAATTGATTTGAGGTGTTGTGGTTGAATTGACTTACAAGGTGACTGAAGTCTAAGAAAAAGTGCGCCACTCGTTATGCTGCGCCACTCGTTATGCAAGTACGTTACTTCTATATTAATTTAGTTATAACTAACTATATTTTCAAGCGAATTAATTAGTTCTTATAGTTTACAGCGCAATACTCAATTAATTTTATATCTCTTAGTGCATAGGGGCAGTGATAGATCTGCCTGCCAAGTTCTAGTATAGCTGGTGGTATGGGGTCCTGAGCCGAAAGGGGCTTAGTATGGTCATTCTATGAAAACGGATAGGTCATTTAATGACTCGATCGATCTTCCGAGTTGCTTCAACACCCACCAATTGCGGCCTCACGCTATCAATTTCACGGGCTTCCAACCCGACCGTAGAGCACTTCAGCAAAGCAACGCAATGCACGCCTGTCGCTGTCACTCTGCTCCACAAAGTTCCTGGCCTATTAGAACAACGCGACACATCTCCTGCACGGCATCCATGGATCTCAATGCCAATCCATGCTCGCCGAGAACCCCTGCCTTAGTTACCTCACCTCAGAGAGTAGCGTGGACAAGGCTACAAATTGTCTTTTCGAGGGGGGCCTGTGATGCGGCTCTACTCTCCGCGCCTCAGCCCCTTTTTGCTTTGCCGCCCTTGACGGTTGCCAGTGGATTTTGCTCGGGCGCCCACATGCGAGCCTGATCTCGTGCTCCCGTCGGCTTGCTCACCCCGCCAAGTGAACTGCATTTGTGACCCTGGTGCAGGAGGCCTCTCTGTCTGACTACGGAGTTGCCTCGGCGGTGTAACTGTGGCCACTGTAGCTAAACGATTGCCAGATATCAATCAGGTTTGATAACGCAACGGTGTCCTTCCCGTCGGTCTGCCCAGCCCCTGGAGTGTTATGGCACATGTACCCCTATAACGGTCGTGTACTATTCCATCATTTTCCAACCCTATGCCGCCGAAGCGTGTCTCTTGTCATCAGTGTCGTCCTGAGAAGAAACAAGGCTTGCTGGAATTAATGCCTACTCCCTCAGGTGAGGCACTGATCGTTCAGTTACTTGGGCTTCCTTGTCCGCAACGATTGTGTGAGTTCGGATTTAAACCATCCGCCAAAGGTGGGGTTGTCTGTTCCCTTCCCTTATACAAGGTATTGTGGTATCCCCCGCTTGTTTCCCCAGCAACTGTGGATGAATCGGTAGCAGGAGCTCACGTCAAGACAAATGGAGAGTGGGATTTGCCTAGGGCTACCGTCATCTGAAGGGCGTGCGGCGTTGCTCACCATCTTTTGGGAATCAATTGGAAGTGACCTTGATTAGTCAGCCCGTAGCGGATGCTGTTGACGATTATCAGCTTTCGGGCTTCTCAGCTGAACCGTCTTCTCTGAGACAGAGGTGGAGAGTCTCGATCAACTTCCTTTTACCCCGCAGCCATCCAACAAATGAAATGCAAACTCGGGGCTCAAATTCGACAGGATTGTGAAATCAGAACCTCGTGAGAACTTAGGCCACTTTCTTCAATTGACGTACTATGATTTCTGCCCTTCGGGTGTGATCGTTCCTTTCCGCACCCAGCATGCCACATCAAGTGCACGAGGAACCCTTGCCCGGGGTTGACCTCTATGCGCCCTTTACAAGCGACACCATTCTCGAAGTCCGCACAGGAAGGATGAAGCCCCTGCGCGGCCTAACTGTGCAGTCAGGCATCGAGAAGATACCGCGCGATGGGCCGGTGCGTGTGACGGAGCTGGGACTAGAGGGCGATGAGCACGACCCTACCTTTCATGGCGGCCTTGACAAGGCCATTCACGGGTGTAAGTCGACAGGCCTACCTTACCATCCACATCCACACATCATCTAACACACTCCGATAGACTGCTCCTCGCACTACCCGACCTGGCGCGCCGAGTTCCCCGCGGCCGCAGAGACCTTCCAGCCCGGCGCCTTCGGCGAGAACCTTGTCACGGCTCACCTGAACGAGCGAAACCTCTGCATAGGCGACATCGTCTCCATCAGGCCCCCGACGTCAACCCAAGAGGACGCCAATGAGCACAGCGTCCTGCTGCAAGTCAGCCTCCCCCGGCAACCATGCTTCAAGCTCAACCACCGGTTCCAGCTCAAGAACTTCGCGCCCAACACGTGGAAGACCAGCCGCACGGGCTGGTACTTCCGCGTGCTCCGACCCGGCACCATCCAAGCGGGCGACACCATCCGCCTCGTGGAGCGGCGGCATCCGGGCTGGACCATCGAGCGCGTGCAAGAGTACCTGCACCGCAACACCTCCGACGCGGCCATGAACGAGGAGCTGGCGGGAATCGCCGAGTTTGGGGCCGAGTGCGGGGATGTGTTCCGCGCGAGGGTGGCGAGGCAACGGACGAGGGACAGGAAAGCGGCAAAAGGACAGCAGAAGTGGAGGGAGTACAGGGTTGTCGAGAGGACAAGGCAGACGTTGAGGGTGATGGCGTTTGTTTTGGAGGCGGTCTGGCCGGTTGCGGGGGAGGGGGAGGATTTGGATCTCCAGCCAGGGGCGCATGCAAAGATCAGGCTGGAGAACGGGCTCATCCGGGCGTACTCGATTGTGGACGGAGATCGAAATCGGTTCCAACTGGGCGTGGCGTTGGACGAGAAGAGCCGAGGCGGGTCGAGGTACCTGCACGACGAGGTCCAGGTCGGACACACGCTGCAGGTGGGCGCCATCACGAACGCGGTGCCCGCTGCTAGCGCCGCGAGCCACCACGTGTTTGTTGCGGGCGGCGTTGGTATCACGGCGTTTCTCGCGCTCATCGAGCATTACAAGCTTATCCACTACTCGGTGACACTGCATTACGCGGTACGCTCGGCCGAAGAAGTACCATTTCGGGAGCGGTTGGCTAGGCTCGGCGATGATGTTGTCATTTACGACAAGACTGCGGGCCAGCGGCTCGATATTCGTCACATTATCGAAGACCTGCCGTGGAACTCGCAGCTATACTTTTGCGGTCCAAAGCGGCTCATGGACGAGGCCGCCCGAGAGACAAAGGCACACGGCATTGCCGAAAAAGAGGTGCACTTTGAGGCCTTCGAGGCCGATGTATCGGGGGACCCTTTCGAGGTGGTTGTGGCCAATAAGGGTGGTAAGACCATCAAAGTGGGCGAAGAGGAAACCCTCCTTGAATGCCTACAGAAGTGGTTCGACGACGTGGATTCGAGCTGCTCCGTCGGCAACTGCGGTACATGCCGCGTCAGCCTCAAGGATGGGCGGGTAAACCACCGTGGCACAGCGCTGACGGAGGAGGAGAAGGCCACGTCCATGCTGGCGTGCGTCAGCCGTGGCATCGGACGTATCACCATTGAGATATGAGCTGGTAGAGACAGGCTCATGGATCCTGCACAATACCCTACGATATCCTCCCGAAGGATTGTATGGGCAAGTTGTACCGTGGCTATTCTTAGACAAATGCTCCACGACACCACCGCTCATGGAATCGGTTTGACTTTCGCTCGAGTTGGGCCTCTTGTTGGGCAGCAACTCGAGCCAAATACAGACAACCTGGAAGCGCCAACTGCGGCCAAGCTGGGCAAACTACAGGATGTGCACCATAAGCATGGCGCGGCTTATCGGAGGAGATCCTGTTGTCGCTTATGCACACCGCTGCCATATAGGCTGTATTGTTTATACAGTAGCCGCCTGGATGACAATCCCGAGAGATACAGTCTGGTCCGGGATCAGTCCCCGGTGCGCACGGCGTGCAGCGGCCAAGGGGTGCCGCATCGGAATCATTCCCCGGCGCCGTCGGCGAGGGCACGGCTGCAGGGCGATTCCCCGCTACATGCCCTCTCGTTCAATGCTTGGGGCACTTCTACACAGTAAAGCCTCACCCTGGGTTGGCCTGGCGGCTTTCGAGTTGCACCGGCCCATTTGGACGAGTCCCACAGAAAATGTGGTCTCAATATCGCCGAGCCATTGGCGGATGACACTCTCGTCAAGCGTGGGGAGACGAAGCGCGATGTCGAGTAGATACAGCAGATGCAACAGAAGATAGACCACAAAAATGAAACTGGGGTTTGGTTTTTATTTTGGTTTGGTCGTCATGTGGTGCTGCTGAGCGGCCAACCATGTGGTACCGATAAGGTAAAGTGGGCCCAAATTTTCCAAACGCAAATCCACCAAAGCGGCTCAATTTCTTGTCATCGAAGTCGAGTGCAAGTGCACATCACCAAGTCATCAACATGCCTTCCGTTCCCGCAATAATCGGGGACTTCTCTGTCCTTCCCGTAACGGTTCCGCCATTACCATCATTCCCCAAAAATGTTGTCCACTACCTCTACGTGCGGCGGAATAACCCCAAAATCCCGACAGCCACCGATGCTCGTAGCCTCTTCCTAACCAATGTTCCCGTCGACAGCACCGAGGTCCATCTTCGCGCCTTGTTCGCCTCACTAGTAGGCGCAGGCCGCTTTGAGAGTGCGACGTTTGAGGACGAGCGAAAAGACGCGCATTCACAGTCCCACTCACCAATTGACGTCGCCCATCCAGCCCACGTTGCCCGCCCGCAGCAAGCCCACAGCAAGAAGCGCAAGCGCGAGGACGAGGAGGTTGAACGAGCGCGGGGGGAAGAAGCGGCGACCCGTCTGCCGAGCACGTGGACCCGGCCGCTGCGCAGGAGCGGCAGCACGGCAGTGGTTTTGCTGGCCGACGAGAAGAGCGTGGAGCAGGTGCTCAAGGCGATCGCCAAGACGCACAAGACTAAGAAGTACCCTACGTGGGGTGACGACAATTTGCCCCAGGGGAAGGTGTCGCCGCTGGGCTCTGTCTGGCTCAAGGCGCACAACAGGCTCTCATACCCCGACAGGCAGCGGTTGCAAGCGTCGGTGGACGCCTTCTCGGCGCTGTTTGCTCGGCGGGAGCAGGAAGCCGCCGAGATTGCCAAGCGGCTGCGGAACGAGCCGGACGAGGACGGCTTCGTCACGGTCACCAGGGGTGGCAGGGCGGCGCCGGCTAGCCGCACCGAGGCAGAGGAGGCCAAGCGGAAGATGCTGGAGAAGCAGGAGAAGAAGAAGGAAGAGCTCACCAACTTCTATCGGTTCCAGCTGCGCGAGCGCAAGAAGGCGGAGCAGGCGGAGCTGCTCAAGAAGTTTGAGGACGACCGGAGGAAGTTGGAGGCGTTGCGGGTCAAGAGGGGCAAGTTTGTACCCGAGTCGTGAAGAAATTCGAGTGGTGATGTTGCGAACATAGGTTGCGGGATAAGCTCAGCATTTTGTTGTTGGCAGCGCAAACGGCCTGTTACTTCGAAGGTCCAAGTGACAGACAGTCTCAGAGCGCCCAACAGTTGCTGCAAGGCCGTAACACATTACCAAGTCTGGTGAGTGGCTTTTGCCTTTTCTATAACCTCCTACACCATGATGACGCACGCGGGGCCATCAGACTATTCCTCTGGTTGCTCGGAGGAATTCTCCTTGTGACAAAGGATGCATGATGACAAAAACCGCGCTTACAATAATCTTCTCAAACTCTCTGATGCGTGTTCTCTTATTGCATAGAGCTGTCTCGGAAGCGAAGCTGGGATCATCATCGACTGACGCCTTACAGACGGCCAGACACGAGATTTGGGTATCTGAGGTGGTACAAGTACCCTTCTGACCGAGCGTCGGGAAGATCGGGAGAGGAGCGAGGGGACAGGAGTTGGTTGTAGTGGGCCGTTCAGGGGCAGGGTCCACGGGAAGGGAAGCGAGCCCGTTGATGGTAAGGTCCTCTTGAATATGGCAGGATTCCATATTGACGGAACCTATTCGAGTTGTTCTTCTTTCCCAAACGTGGGCTCGCAGCGAGAAACACTGCACGCTTTTTTTGACATTCTACGATGCATTACCAGACTGAGACAGGAAGCGACAAAAGGGGGTCATCAACGAAAGGGGGTTAGGGTTGACTGCTAAACGTGTGGAGAGATTGCAGATCCATGCCAATTGCACGTCGCTGCCACAGCAACGCCCCACCAAATAAACAGCTCTGGCCGCGGTTGAAGATTGCACAACGGCGTCAGGTTGCATTGAGCCCCAGCACCTGGTCGTACCCGAGACTGACATCTTGGACACTGGTTTGATTTTTACTGCCGATTTGGACACTGGGAAGAGACCTTGTATCCTGCATCTGAAACGCCACTGCCATTTCACATGCTTGAAGAGCTCGATCCAGTTTTTGATTCTTAGATGGTCTTTTCCTGCAAGAAACCAGTCGAAACTCGAACGAACTGATGAGGACCAGACGTCGGCCGCCACCATGATTGAGCTCGAGAACCTGCGTACGGCGTCGCTGTACATCAATAACCAGCTGCTGTCCCGGGGCTTGCTGCGCGGTGGAAGCAGCATCGACTTCGCCCACCCGGGCGACAGCGGCCATGAGGTGGCCGAGACCATGAGCCGCATCATGGGCGTCGTCAATGACCTGATTCTGCGGCGAGATGTCAGCACCCGAATACCATACCATTACTGCGAGCTTTGTGACTGACGTCGATAGCGTGATGCTGAGCACCGCGAGTCTCTTTCGGCGGCCCTCCGCACTCTCCGTGCCGAGTCCCTACGGCAAGCCAACGATATCCAGCGCCTACAAGAAAAACACGCCGAGGCACAACGCAAGGTCGGTCTAAGCGAGGCTGCCGAAGCCGCACTCCGGACGCACCTCAAGTCGGCCGAGGCGACGATCCACCGCCTGAAGGAGGAGGCTGCCCGCACAAAGACGCTCGTGGCCCAAACAAGGGCTTCCTGCGCCAATGAAGTGCGGAAGCGGGACCGTCAAATCGAGGGTCTCAAGAAAGCTGTTACAGAAGCCGGTAGGGCGAGGGGTGCGGGAAGAAGCACCGGAGTCACAAGCATCACAGTGGTCGGCGACATTTGGACAGAGTCAGAGCATGCTTTACCCAGCGGATCCACGGCCGACCAAGGCTACGACCTACGCACCGAAACGAACGCGTTTTTAGCCGAACTGGCGAAGAATCTCAGCGACGAAAACGAGGGTCTGCTCCAGTTGATCAGGAGAACAATGGAGCAGCTAAAAGAGATGAGCGGTTGGGATGTCGCCAACGAAGATCCAACCGAGAACGGAGACGGGCATGCCGTGGTGCTCGCGGCTAATCCCGCCGACCTTTCACTCGAAATCAATGCGGTCCTCGAACACCTCCGCACTATCCTGACCAACCCGTCCTTTGTTCCCATCGAAGAAGTCGTGGTGCGGGAAGATGAGATTCACAGGCTGCGTGACGGTTGGGAAAAGATGGAGACACGGTGGAAAGAGGCAGTCCATCTCATCGACGGCTGGCGCAAGAGGATGCAGGCGAGCGGGCGGCCCGTGAATGTTGAGGAGCTGAAAATGGGGCTGCGTCTCAGCCCGGTGAAGGTGAAGAATGTCGAAGAGACTTCTCAGGGATACGCTCTCCGCCTGGAGGCCGTCCTTGAGGATGAGGAAGTGGAAATGGTGCAAATGCAATGCGACGATGATTCGCTAGACCTGGTCCCTGGCCCCGATGCGGACACCGACAGCGATGCCTCCAGCGAATTTGAGCACAACCTGGAAGTTGATGAACTCGATTTAGAGGAGCCAAACGTGGAGATCCTTCAACAATCGATTATGCTGGCTTCTCCGCCACTCCCTCAGCCGCCGCAGCTCAGCGTTTTGCGTGATTCGTACGCTGCAGGGAACAGAGGCGGACCTCGAGACCATGGAAGACATCCCGGGCCCTTCACTACCACTGCAGAAGAGAAGTCACAAGATCAAGTGGCAAAGGACGCTGCGTTGCCTCCTCTCCCTCCGACGGATCAACCTCAGCAGCCGCCGTCAAAGAAGCCGATCCTCTCGGTGCGCACAGTGCCTCCAGAAGAGGCTGCAAGGGTTGCGCTACCACCTTCTGCGCTGGCATCGACGCCGGACACTTCGGTCGACAGCATAGCTCTCAGTAAGGTTTCGGATGAACCCACGTCGAAAAATTCGGCAGTATCAACAAAGCCCCAAAAGCGGCCAGCACCCTCTGCAAGGAAAAACGAGGCCATCAACAAAAAGGAAGGTGCAAAGAAAGAGGTCCCAAGAAGGGAACCTACAAAGACGGAAGCTTCAAGGAGGGACGCCTCAAGGCGGGAGACGGCAAAGAAGAAGGAGGGCGAAGAAACTAAGCACGCGTCCAGGCCACCAGCGAAGCCTCGATCGACCCGACCGCCCATAACAAGGGGAAGGTCAGACACACGACCTGACGAGAAACCCGCCCATAATGCAAAGGGACCGCGAGCGGCTTCTGCAGCCTCAGCCACTTCGACAAGGTCAACCGGCACCAACAAGAGTGCGGGCGCGGAGAATCTAATGTCTCCCCCTCCTCTCCCAGTCCACGGAGAGGTCCCATCGCCGTCGTCATCACCGGGCTCCTTCCACAGGCGCGTCAACTCCCGCCTACCGCTGCCCCGACCAGGCTGTAACGGCGTGCTCCCAGCTCCGCAACAGTCGCCACTTAGCATGGCCACCATCGCCGCCAAACTCGCCGCCTCGGAGCGTGAGGCTGATGCCGCTCGCGTGCGGGCCAAGCTGAAGGCGGCACGACTCGGTAAAGGTGCCAGTATCCCGCCGTCCGGGACAACATCCTTGACCTCGAGCGGCGCACCGGTCGAGCCCGAAGCCGAAAGCAACGTTGGCGCCATGAGCAGCACCCGCTCGGAAAGTGACAGCGTCACCGGCAGCGCCTTGGCCTCTGCGTCTGCGTCTGCCTCCACCTCGGACGGCGCGCCCAGCTCTGCTACCACCAGGGACGACGACGTCGACGAACTGGGGTTGTCTCCGCCCACGGCGGCACAGCAACAATCGCAGAAACACCGACCACAACAACAGCCATCACAACTCCAACAACAACAACGACAACGGTTGCAACAGCAACAGCAACTAGAGCTGGAGCAGGCGCAGGAGCATCAGAAGCAGCAGCAACAACAACAACAACAACAACAACAAGAGGCGGCGGCGGTGAACCAGAAAAAAACCACGAGGAAGAGGGAGAAATGCACGAGCAGGGTTGCTTCGCGCAGGAGGAGTACACTTAATCCGTGGGAGCTGGATGCGCTAATCCAAGGAGGGAAGGCCGCTGTCGAGAGGTAGGCCTGTTGTAGGTTGAGTTTGCAAAGGGGTTCCGGATTTGTGTGGAATGCTGATGTTTGTGACTTTGATACAGAGGCGAAGGGGGGAGAACTCCCAGGAGAGCGGATGGGCAATTTTTGGAGGGGGATCAAGGGATGGGGCAAGGGGTTGGAGAACCGAGAAGAGAGAACGAGAACGGCATGGTGGGTGGGGGATGGGTTGTTGCTTGATGTGGCTGGCTGGCTAGTGGGAGGATCATGACTTATGAGATTGCATTTCGGGTTATTCAAGCTTTTTCTTTCCTGTTGTGTCTCTTCTGGACCTTATTCTTGTTCATTGCGTACATATTCACGGGTGGGATATTCGGATGCTTGAGTGTCCGTCCCGGTTCTGATCTTGTTATGTTTCGGGGACGTGCATATTGAAATGGGGCATCATCTTCATCCGCTTCTTGGTGTTGTTGCTCGGTTGCATTCCGTTGCGGCGTTCTCAATGCTTCGCTTCGTCTCATCCTAAACATTGTTGGGGGGTTTCGTGGGTTGTTTAATGTGAATTTGGGGTTTCAATGGGAACATCGCTTGGTAATTCAACGATTTCGTGACTGGGAAGTATCTACAGGCGACGTGTCACTTGCGCTCGACTTCAGTGTAGAGAGATTGGATGTCCTTGTACTTGTACCAGAGGTAAGGCAGCCTCTGGGTTAGAGAGTCTATTTTGGTCTGCCTTCCACCTCCAGGTACTCCCTGCTCTTCGCTGCACCCATCGGCGGTCACTCTTCTCTTTACATGGTTCAAAACTTTCAACTTTGCCGGCTCCCTTAGGTGCTTGCTAGACCAACTAGTGCTGCTTGGGGGGTGCCATGAGTTCCAGGAGCCTGTCGACAGCCTGGCTCGATTTGACCCGAGCCTTGTAATACTACCAAGACTACCTACAGTACCTTACGCTCCTAGTGAGTGGCGGGTTGATCGGTGACTGAGAACAATGAGTGTGTCGTTCAAAGTTCAAGTAAGTCAATGTTGAACATATCCAAAATTACACTCATATCCAATCATTGCGATGCTCACCCATTGCCGGATTATAGTTACCGCTCATCCACCCCCATCAACATGCTACCATCCACCTCCAGCAGTACGAACCTCAGGAACACCGTCGCTATGCCATATCCCCGCGCTTCAAACCAGCCAGAAAGAAACCGACAAGCCGTTGTCAATCCGTTGAACCTGTTCCAGTCCGCTGGCCTTTGCCAACCCGCTGACCCCGCCGCCAACCCCAGAACTCAACCGCCAACTCTTCGCAAAACTATCATTTACACCAAAGCCTCGCCGCCGCCGCTACCGGCCCTACTTAGGTATCATCAGGCAAGTACAACGCGCCGTTGTACGTGGTAGGCGGCACCAAGCGGAAGCCCGTAGTATCCGTGAAGTTGTGCGTGTTGCCGGCGGCGTTGCCGCGGTAGGGGATGCCCATGCGGCGGCAGGCCTCGATGTGGTCGGCGGGGAAGGTCATGCCGCGCAGGCGATCGGGCGCTTCGATGACGGTCGCTGTCAGACCCATCTCGACATGCCACTCGATGTGGCAGTGGAACAGCCAGACGCCCGGGTTGTGGGCGCGGAAGCGCAGCACCGCGAACGAGTCGGGCATGACGGTCACGACGTCGCGCCAGGGCGGGAAGACGGAGTAGTCCAGGCCGTCGTCGCCCCGCCATGGCCCGGACCCGCTGGCGCCGCGGTAGAGGACTTGGAACTGGTGCCCGTGCAGGTGGAACGGGTGGCTGGCGCTGTCGAGGTTGTTGATGACGATCTGGACCGTGATGCCGTAATCGATGATGAACGGGTTGACCTGGCCGTAGACGATTGGGTTTGTGTTGGAGTCGTTGGTCGTGGCCGCGCTGTAGAGGGTTGGGACCTTTTGGGTGATGTAAGTCAGGTTGTTGAAGCAGGAGCTGTGTGGTTGGTTGGGGTGGTTAGCACGGAAAAAAAAGAAAGAAAAAGAACAGAGAAACCTGGTGACGGATGCTGAAGTATCTGTAGAACCTACCGAGGATACCCGTTTTGGTCCAGACAGAAGCGGAAGTCCAGCGTGATCAGCTTGTCGTACGGGCTGTAGGCCGCGATGTCTTCGTAAGGCTTGAAGAGGGCGTCGTCGGGCGGCAGCCACCTGTCCACGACTTGGGCGGCCGGGAGCGGCAGCGAGGGGTCCAGCACGAGATGTCCCGTGTAGTTGAGTGGCCAGGACATGGTTTCGGTGGAGTTAGTCCAGTCGCGGTTCACGTCGAGCGCGACCAAAAAGGGGTAGTTCCCGGCATCCCGATCGCCCACCGAGATCAAGATGTCGTGCCGCTGGGCAGGGCCGATCCGCAGATGGTAAGCTTTTTCTTTCTTGATGTAAGCGGCGTCGTTCGTGATGATGCCCATGGTGTGCGAATCGAAGTGGACCATGGCAGCGGCAAAGGCGGCATAGTTGATTATGCGGATGCGGTACGTCTTGCCCTTGGTGACATTGAGCTCGAAGCCCTGGCCTTCGTTGACAATGAGACTATCCGGGAGGGGGGGCCGGAAGTCAGTGTTAGAGGGGTTGAGCATGTTTCTGACCAAGGTGATACTGTCGTTGTGATACCTGTGGAGGATCAGTTCCCGGCTTCCGAGTGTTGACCCAGGGCAGCCCTTACCAGTCCGAAATGCTCAAGATGTGCTCCTCGTCATAAGAGCCCTCGAACGGGTCGACCGGGTCATGAACAATAAAGGGTCCGCGCAAACCATCGGGGTACTGGCCCATGTCGTGCGAGTGATCTACTCATGTGTCAGTACTCGGTTACGTGAGCATGCTGACGCGGCGTCCGCACACCCGGCAGCACCGAGGGGTACTTACACCAATAAGTGCCAGCCTCGTCAACGGTAAACTGGTACTTGAGGCCCATGTCCGGAGGCACGGAACACTGGGTGGTACCGCTCGGGCCGTCCATGTCCGCCGTCTGGACCTGGTTGATGCCGTGGAAGTGGAGGCCGGTCGTCTGGTTGCCGAGCAGGTTCAAAAGATTGATAACGACGGTGTCCCCAACCGTGGCTTCTATGGGGGGGCATGGCCACTGCCCATTGATCCCGATTACCGGTCGCCCAAAGCCATCGGGGGCAGCCCATACCCACATCACATTCCAGTCGTAAGTAACAGTTGCTGGACTGGCTACAAGTGCCAGGGCCAAGAAGAAGAACAGGAGAGTCGACGGAGGGATCATGGCGCTGGCTGGGTAAAGGTGTATGTATGTAGGACGAATGGACAAGTGAAAGCGCGAAGGACATCGAACGAAAGGAAGGGGACAGAGTCGGGATAACCGGGACACGGTGGGGATTTATACGCTCAGCGGTTCAGGCCGGTGAAGAGAACCCGGTTCGTCGCATCATAGCGGGCCAGAGCAACAAACCGATCAAGGCGTTCATGGTGATGGAGTGAGCCGCATGGGTAGAATGTGGCTCAGACTCAATATCTGCCCGTCACCCAACTCTCAGCCCGCCAACCTGCCCTCAATATCAGTTCCTCAGTGGTCTGGAGCAGGACTCGGACTGCCCTCGCGGCACGTCAACTGAGAACCTATCTCCAAATAGTATGTAACTGAGCAAGACTTATCTGAAGCGCAGAGCGGTGAACATGTAGGCCATGGCGGTCACCGTGTTCGCAAGAAGGGAGCCTGTCCGAGTAGGCCAGGCCCTCATCGTTGCGATACATAGCTCGTGCCGTGGAAGGGTACACGCCGGTCGTCAGGTTGCCGAGCAGGTTCAAGATATTATTGACGACGGTGGCAACAGTAGGATGTTTATTGAGAGCCTGTTCCGCATCCTGCTAGCTGTGCCCATCGTCGTGCCTGGTTAGCCCGGCATGCGAACTTGTCAAGGCGGTGGCTGGGGAAGATAAAGGCTGGAAGGGGTCCGAGAGATTGGGATAAGCCTCATCTCCGCGGTCTTCAACGAATGCGTCCGTGCCAGGTAATACGCACATGTGGCAAGAAAGGGCTTTTGTCATGGAGTCGGCCGCATCCCGCTGCCATGTAAAGGCGCATGCTAACGATGCCGGTTTCTGCTCAGATCGGAATGGTATCACGGGATGCTGTTGGTTCCATTGAATGACAATGTCCAGGCTAGGTGGATCTATGGTAAGACGCAGTCTATTCGCCCAGAAGAAGCGTGTGCCAGGCGTCAATTGGGTGCATACCAAGGCTCATGATCTTCTTGATCTTTCGTGAAGTGAGCCTCGCATTCCCGCTCTAGAGCGTGGGGGTGGGGCGTCACGGGCCAAGGCTCGGTTTCGGCTTTTTCCCTGAAATGGAGAAAAATCTACTGTGTATCTGCATCTGCCGAATCAGGCCAATCGGAATATCCGTCCATCGAGGTACGTACCCGGGAACTTGGCAACCCCCGTCAGTGCCTGTTCTCTTGTTCGACCATCCAAGTCTCGCAACTGTACGCAGTCCTTCCTGTTGATGGATCGAGTTTGTCTCATCTCGCGTTGGTTGGCCGGACTGAATTCAGTTTGGCAGCTGGTGCATGTGGTCGTTGCCCTACGGAGCTCGAAGTGGCTGGTTGTTGTAGATCGCGAGGAATTGGGACGAGAATTTCCCATCAAGCAACACAGCACTGGCATTGATCATCATCCCTCAACCGTTCGCCGAAGCACCAACTTCCCTCGCCCAGGCCGCCTATCGACTCGTCATGCATCAATCCATGCTTACCAAAGCGGCATCATCACCGTACAGTTGCCATTGCCCCAGTCACACGACCAGAATTGAGTTCTGGAAAGGAATTCATCAAAATAAAAGACCAACACAATCCAGGAACCCACCACAACACCCGACACATAGCACCACCACCACCACCATCACAGCTATCTAGAGATCAAAAAGTGCACTCCCTAACCCTCCCGCCCCTCCCAGCACCCACCGCATACTCGACCCACCGTGCGACGCCCCTGCGCCCGCCGACCAGCACGCTGCCCGGGTTCATGACGTGGCAGCCCTCGTACGTGACGCAAAACGCCGGCGCCGTCGTGTCCACCAGCACCAGCGCCGTCGGCAGCGGGTACAGGTACATGGCGGCTGCGTAGTCCCAGTGCACCGGCCGGACCGACTGCCGGAAGGGGGCGAGGAAGCCCTGGTCGAGGAGCGTCTTGACGAGCTTGCGGGCGGCTAGCACGTCGTAGGGTATCTTGTTGTCCATGTCTTGCTGTTGCTGCGGCTGTTGTAGTTGTTGGTCGGAAGATGCCGCGTCGAGGTCCATTGCATCTGCTTGCGCTTCGGTTGAGGGAGGAGATGAGGGAGGGGCTGCGGGGTTGGCGCCGGACATGGTTACGTCTTCGCTGCTGGCAGCTGTGCCGGTGGGTTGGGATTCAGTGGTGCTGACTTTGCTCTTCAGGCGGACTGAGGAGCGGCGCAGGCGGGCCGAGATGTCGTCTCGGAAGAGAGCGATTTCGTGGTTGGGTCCGAAGAGGGACAGGCGGCTGGGGTTGGTCGTCCAGATGGCCTCGCCTCCCTTGCCCTCGGCGGGGGAGAGCCCGGCTTCGGCGTTGGCCGCGGCAAATACCCTCCTGATTCGAGACGTGAACAGGTCCGGAACGGGCTTTCTCGGCAACGGCACGGCGGCCCCCCCTGAAAACGCAGAGGCCCACCCGTCGTTGTCCCCAGGGACGAAGACGAAGGTTGCTGTGGTCAGCAGCATGGGGAACTCGGCTAGCGTAGAGGCTAGGGCGTCAAAAAACTCCTTGTACTCTATGCTTCCGCCGCTGCCCCCGCGAGCCAGGACTGCGTGCGTGGTGAAGTTTCCAGTCAGGATAAAGGTCATCGGGGTCGAGCCTTCCGGATCAGTGGCGTAGAGCGAGAGGACCTTCTTCAGCGCTTGCAGACTGCGCGGCTGGTCGAGATTCAGCTCGCCCACGACAACCACACGGCTCCGCCCAGGACTGTCCGGGTCGGCCATCACACGTTGCCGTAGCAGTCTTTGCTCCATCTTACGCATCCGAGATCCTACAGCCCGCTCGCTGCCTACACCGAGAAAATCAATCCACCCAAAGCCACCGCCAATGGTGTGGTCCGCCCCTCCGTCCAAGGCACTCACTCCCAGCGTCGCTCGCCGCTTCTCGCAAGGTGGTTGGCCGATGAAGAAGCCCTGGAAGCGGCCGCCGATCGTGCCCCCTACACCGCTGCTTCCGCTTAGCCCCTTGCCTACCGACTCCTCCTCTTCCTCGTAGACGCCGTCCATAAGAACAATCATGCCGGGCGTGAACCAGGCCGAGTCCTCCGGAATGGCGACGGCGTGGGAGAGGTCGAGCGCGATCGTCCCTGTCATGTCACTAATGGCCAGGTTACCGGTGGGCAGAACATTCAGCATCCCGAGCAGCATGTGGTTGCTGCCGTGCCGGCCGAGAAGGTTCGCGATAGGGGTGATCTTGTGTGACTGCATCGAGGTCGCGCCTCGCCGGAGGGCAGTGCTCCGGGCGCTCGTTACGGCGGAGGTCTGGAAGGCTTCGTTGCGGAGGAGGCGTTGGTGGATTACGTTGTACCTGTTCCGGAAGGCTTCCGTCTTGTGAGAGGCTGGTGGTAAGAGGGATGGTTTGGAGGCGATTCTGACCGGACGTTAGCGCCATACCCAACTCACACGAGCAACGGAGGATGTACTTTTCAAAGTGCTTCTTGGCCACATTGTATGTGTACCGGGGCTGCTCAAACGCTCCGATAACCTTCAACCACCTCCTAACGTCTTGCGACGCCTCGTCGTCCGGTTCCTCGTCGAGGCCGATGCTGGACATGCCGAAACTGGCTTGGCTATCGTCTCGGGTGAGTGTTGTCATGGGCCTCAGTCCCAGCCGGGTCTTGGAGTGGTCTTCGTCTTCAGTAGGCTCGAGCATCAAGCTGTTCTGCCGACTCAGGCCCCGTGCTCCGCTCATTATCTTGCCGCCGCTCATGTTCCCCTCCAGTGTCTTGAGGATGTCCTTCAGCTCAGGGCTGGTTCCGTCCACAATGACACCCCCATTGCGGTTTTTCCACGTCCGCGCAATTTCCTCCAGAACCTTCTCTGCCAGACCTTCTTCCCTCCATCCCGAGCCACAGTGTCTCCCAATAAATGTTGCGAGCTCTTGCAGCGCCGAGGATGTTAGCGTCAAGCTGTGCTTCTTCGTGAACGTGCGGAATGCCAGTGGTCTCAGTGTCGCAGGAGGGAGAATAATCGGTAGTACAGCTGCCTTAGCGGGAGCTGGGGGTTGAAAGGGCCTTAAGGGGTGTGCTGGCGTTGCGAAAGCGGGAGAGGAGGACGGTATCGCGCTCGAGGGAATCGAATTCTTGGGCGCAAACAACGAAGGCGGCGGTTTTGCCCGTCTGGCACCCTTTGCGGGGCTTCGTGGCTGGTTCTTCCGGGGGCTCTTCTTGGGGCTCTGTACAGGCAGCATTTTGTCGTCTATTATCTTCCACGAATATTCGATTTGTGGTGTCGACGATCGCTGGCACAAGAAGATGGGAAGCGCGTTAATGGATCGGACGGCGCGTCTTAGCGCGTTTGGCGGGGCAAAACCGCTGGGATGCTTCAGGGTGGGCAGGAAGTCCGGCAGGCAAGTGGGCCGAAGCAAGCTTCTCCTGCAGCTTCCAGCTTTGTCGGTGTCAATGACAGCATCGTCGTGAAACCTCCATCTGCAAGCTTACCGTCCCGCCATCCATGCGAGATGTTGACTACCCGCCTATTTACGCCACCACCCTTCCGCTGTCTTGTGCGAGGCATATCAACGTTGGCCTCCAATCCAAGCATCGTCAGTCCCTAGTTATCCGCTACTTCTCAAACCCACATCCGCGGACGCAAATGAGGTGCTGACCACTCCCAGAAAGTCTTCCCAAACCCGCAGACGCCAGGCACCTACCTTCTCTCCTACCTCGACACATCGCCTCCCAACCCGTCCCTCGCAATTGGCACCACGACCGCTGTTCCTCCCACCCCACGATCCTTCCAATCCAACCCTCGCTTCCTCTCCATCCTCTACGACGTCCTTGCGAAACACGCCGCCGTGGACCCCGGGCTGAAGAGCCAAGCTCAAGCATTTGCGTCGCCGGGCGGCTTCAGTTTTATACAGGCGCGGAATCAGCGGGCCTCGGGCACCGGGGCCGGCGGCGCCAGTGCCGAGGGAGGTGCCGGTGGGGCGGGGGTCGGGGGCTGGGTGCATCTCAGCGATTCGAGGAACCCGCCTGATTTTGGGCGGATCGCTTGGTATGGAGGACCCATGGGAGTGCGATGCTTTCAGTTGTGGGCTGACGTGGCTTCTTCAAGGCCGGAGGACATCCTCGGTAGCGTGGAGGTTGACGGTAACGGAGAGATCCTGGGCAACTTCCAGGCCAGCGGCACGTACCGAATCGTGACAAATCAGGGAATGTGAGCTATACTGCCCCGAGCTTGTGTTTCCTGTTTCTTGCCTTGCTTGACTGACCGTATTGTTGTTTAGCCTTGGGTTAAGTCCATTCTTGCAGGAGAAGTTGATAGCACGGCTCCGTGAAGAAGAAAGAAAGACATGAAACGGTGGACCATGATAATAAAGCGCAGCCGATGGATGTAAGATATGATGAAGACCTTGTAGCAGTACATTCCCACCAACAGCCGAGCTTCGTGAAGGGCTAGAAGCAATTTACCAGACACCTGCTGAGAAACAACCATTCGCCGACGATGAAATGGAACGCTGCGGAGTGTATTGTGGTTGTATTAGTTGTTCTCCTGCAATTGTGAATAACCAGCTCAGGCGAACTCTGGCCGATTTTCAGTCGAGTAATTGAGAAACGCAACGAATATGGTACGGATCCGTACAGTTCTGCAGTCGTCACCTCGTATCATGCGTATGAACCCAGCAAAATGCCCGGTGTCCCCAACCCAGAAAGCAGGTCGGCACCCAAGAAAACTGGACAGAAAGATAGCAATGAAAACGCCGCGCGTGGAGACCAACTGCCCCTCCCTCACTCCCCGTCGTGGTCGTCGTCCTCCTCCTCCTCCTCCTCCTCGTCGCTTGTTACGTCGATGTTGGCCTTCTTCGACCTCTTGGCCTTTGGCCTTTCCGCCTTTACCAGCACGTCACTCGTCCCAGTCGCTGGAAGGCCGCCAACATCGTGGCCCTGCGAGCGAAGCTCGTCGTTCAGTTGCGGAATGATCCTGAGAAGCGCCTTGTATTGGTCGAGAGAAAGGGAGATGCCCTGGCGATGTCGGTCAATCGCTGCGTACATGGGTTCACCAAAGTCGAGTAACCTGCCTTCTTGCCCGGCCGTAGCTCCCCATCGGGTGCTGTGTAATACTCCCGGATATTGACCAAGGTAGCCCCTTTGAACTGTGATGAGCCGATGCGCCGGTTGTTGCCAATCTGAAGAGACTTAGCTATGCATAGACAAGAGCTTGGACAGCAGTGAGAAAAAGAGCTAACCTCCCAGTATGGGTTTCCTTCTGCATCTTTGCCTTGAGCGAGGTCCTTCTTAGCTGTCTTAGCGCTCTTTGACTTTTTAACGGCCTGCTGCTCTCCGTCGCTATCGGGGTCAATCTGCCGCTTCTTGTTGTAGGGCATATTGCGCGCGGCTTGTCTTGCTGTTTGATAATTGAACTTGGGCTGCACGAAGTGAGTTGACGCGGCCAAGTAAGTGACAGTGGTTCAATCGCGAAAAACCTACAATCTCGATAAAAGGCACTGGACGTGACGGAGCAGCGCTTAACGTCGCTTCCGTCGCAAACGCGTTTGCACGTGAAATAAAGACTGCCCCACGCGATCACTCAAGCCCAGATGGCTTGGCACGTCGGCCGAGTGGAGACACGCTAGGCTTGAGGCATGCCAAGACGGGCTTATGTGGGACCTGAACCGTTGGGGAACGACCCCTGAATTCCACCAGGTGTTCCGTCTTGTCAACCCAGGAACAAAGCTTGAGCCTGGAAAATCCAAACCACCAAACACCATCGCCTGACACATCGCATTTCCAGTCTATCCCGACCCTTTTCACAGTCCGTCTCCTGTGCTTTTTGCATCCACAAATTCAAGCGAATCTACTCCTGTCGCGCACCATTACAAGCTCGGCTCGATTGGTATCGAGACCGCCAAACACGATCCCGTCCCCGGCATTAGTTCCCCACGCGGACAGAACCAACTTCCCGAATCCATGATTTTCCCGAAAGCCGCTCCGCCTTTATGAAACCAAAAGAAGATGGCCCGGATCCGGGCGCCATACCTAGTGAAATGGAAGGAAAAGGCAGCGCAGTCCCCGACCTCGGAGAGACGAAACCTTCCCCATCGCCGAACCCACCAGGCGCAAACGACGACGACGTGAGCCTGACAACAAAGATATTCAGCTTCCTTGCGACCGCGACACCCGGAACCCTCGGTGGTGTCGCGGTGGGTCTGGCCGCGACCACATACCTGGTCCTGGGTAGGCTCGGTCTCGTTCTGATCGGCGCATTCGGCGGCATCGTGTCCTTCATACAATGGGAGCAGCGCAGTGCCGAAGTGGTACGGGCGGTCAAAGGAGAAAGGGGGCTGGACATTTTGGCCCGACTCTTGGCGGCGAACAATACCTCCGAGAACGCGTCCCTCGAGGAACAGAACGCCGCTGATGCCGAAAGCAGCGCGTTGGTGCGCTCGTTCGACGACCTGCCGCCCGAGACGCGTAAGGCTATGAATGAGCTTGTTGAGGCCGTCATCGATAACTACGTCAAGTGGTGGTACTCGCCTATCGTGCCCTCGGACAAGTTCTTCCCCGTGGCCTGCCGCAAGACGCTGACGACATTCTTGACTTCTGTATCCAACCGTCTCCGCAGGAAACGTCCCACCGACGCCTTCCTCGACTTCTTGACCAATTCTTCTTCCATCCTTGTCGTTTTCATGTCCGAGCTCTCCAACGCCTTCTCTGAGCTGCCGCCCGATTCGAAAATGACGGCTGCAGATGCCGTCTACAACTATCTTGCCTCGCACCCCGAGTCCAACCTGTCCACGCTCCTGAATCAGAAGCAGCAAGCGGGCAAATTCCGCATGGCTGCCGATGACCTACTTGGCTTTCTTGACCGCGCGACCTACGAGTGCGATCCTGCCAGGATCTTTCTGCGAGAGGTTCTGGCTGGTGTGATTCTCGAGATGACACTTCAATCCTGTTCCAAGGCGGAATGGATCAATTCCTGGATTGTCTACCTGCTCGAATCGGGAGAGCCGGACATCAGCCAAGCCATTGACGTGGGCATGCAGACGGGACCCGGGGCTGACGTAGCATTTGCCGATTTGGACGGAAACGTGGGTAATATCGGGCTCACCAAGGGCAACAGGAGTTCGTTTGAGTATGAAAGGGTTCGCAGGAAGGAGTCTTTGGCCCACAAGAAGAAGCTAAGCAAGGCTGAAGAGGAAATGGAGCTTGCCCTAGAGGAGATGAAGCGCCTCAATCAGATGATTTGCCAGGAGAAAGCCGCTAGGGAGGAGACGGAACAACGAAGCTTGCGGTCGGACACGAAAGGGAGCACAGCAGAGGCTTCTGAGCAGCTCTCTGAGGGCCCCAGTCCCCGCGGGAACGAGCCGGACACTCGGAAAGACCAAGCTGAAAGGCCGCGCCAGTCCCAACGCCTGGACACGTTTTCCGAGACCGCCAAACGGACGAGCAGCGATGACTCGTCAGGTAGGAATGAGGCCATTCACACTCCAGCCACACCACTTTCCGGAGTGACACCTCCGTCGAGCCAGGACTCATCTCCGCCAGCAAACACGGGGTCTCATTTCACAAGTTTTGATCAGATTGTGCCCCCCGCTCGAGACGAACCGGAAACCGAGGCAAAGCAGCCTCCGAAACCACGTCCCTTGACATTGCACAATGCAGCCATCACCGTTCTGGACGAGCCGGGCGATGGCCGGATCAGGACAAAGCCTGCCTGGGACTATCTGGTTCAAATCGAGCCGGCGACGACAGTATATCCTGGGTGGATGATCATCAGGAAGTACAGCGATTTCGAGACGCTCCACGAGATCCTGAGGCGAATCGCGGCCATCTCCGGCGCAACGATTTTCACGGAGCAGCACGGCACGCTCCCGTCCTGGAAGGGTCATACTCGAACATCGTTGCGTGCCGAACTGGAACGTTACCTGCGCGATGCCTGTGGGCATCAAAGCCTGGCAGAAAGCGAGGGGCTGAAGAAGTTCCTTGAGCGGGACCATGGCCACATCCCCAACGCGCCGAAGACGGGCTTTCAGGCGTTTGAGAAGCTGGGCAAGAACGTCCTGGACGTCCTGACGAGCGCCCCGCTGGAGGGCTCCAAGGCGGTGGTCGGCGGCGTTACTGGTGTGCTGGGGAACATGGGCCTGGGCCAGCGAAAGCCGGCGCCCTCTGCTCCGCCGCCACCGCCATCGGCCTTGCAAGATGTGACAGCAGCTAGTCGCCTGTCCATCTCGGCCCTGCCCCGGGCGGACAGCAGTGCTTCTCTCAGCGGGATGCGCAAGGGAGCGCGGGACAGCATGGATAGCCAGCGTTCGTCCGTCGTGGCTTTGCAGCCGGGCAAAGTGCCACCTATGGAGCGCCGCCCCAGCTACAACTCGCAAGGCGAGGCGGAACCTGAAAATCCACGGCTTTCCGGGGTCTCGGGCAGGAGCAGTCGGGAACACAGCCGGCCATCAAGCCGAGCACCGAGCCGCGCACCGCCAACGCGGTCGCCATCCAGCCTTAGCTTTGACGGATTCCGCTTACCTCCGCCGCCCGATATGATTGCCGACGACTACGAGTTCCCCGTCAGCCCGTCGAACAACACGCGACCCCACGACTTCTCTCACGCCCGCTCCTTAACCATGCCCTCGATCAACAGCCAGCAACGGCTCAACGGCCCGCCGCTGAAGGGCGTCAAGCAGCATTCGAAACTCTCGGAGCAGGAGACGCGCGTCGCGGTCGAGCTCCTCTTCGCCGTCATCAACGAGCTGTACACGCTCTCGTCGGCGTGGAACATACGGCGCACGCTGCTCGCGGCGGCCAAGTCGTTCCTCCTGCGGCCGGGCAACCCGTCGCTGCTGTCGATCCAGTCGCTGATCCAGTCGTCGGTGCTCGACGCCAACACGACGGACGGCGGCATCGCGGCGCATCTGAGAAAACTCAGGGAGAACGCGCTGCCGACCGAGCAGGAGCGCGCGGGCTGGCCGGCCGACATGACGCCGGAGGAGAAGGAGAATCTGAGGGTCAGGGCAAGGAAGCTGCTCATCGAGAGCGGCGTGCCGGCGGCCCTGATGGGCGTCATGGGCCAGGCGGCCACGTCGGAGGCGCTCGGCCGGCTGTTTGACTGTCTCCAGATCGAGGAGGTTGCGAGGGGTCTGATGTTTGGGGTGATTCTCCAAGCTGTGAGAACGGTTACGCATTGATGGGGCCTTAACGATTGTCTTCTAAACTTGTGCACGACGTTTGAGGCACAGGGAGGTTTTCGGTGTATGAATGGGATTCTTCAAATGGCCGGGGCCAGCAGACGTGTTGTATCTCGCTGTGCGAAGGAGCACTATCGGCTGGCTGAATGTTGTAATGATCTAAAGACTTTTTGTAATGGGGATTGGCTACGAATAGATCATCGCAATCATTAACATTCATCAACAGCTCCTCTACTCGTACCGAGTGTCATGCAGGATCAATGGCGGATTGCGATCCCGTTCTTTCCACGGCCCGCCGCAGCGAACGGGGCTCTATCATACGCATGCTTGGAATGTACGTGCATCTTCTTATCTCTCTCTCTGAAGCCGACGGCTCGGACCCGAATTGCCAGGGGCCTTGAATGCAGTTCCTCCTCTGACCATAAACCAAACCTTCCACTCCGACTCGACGTGCGGTGCGGACCAAGCTTTTGGAGGCTCCTTTGACAGCGGTTGCCAAGCAAGCCATCTGCGTCAATTGACAGCGATGGATTTGGCGACATAAACGAGCAATTTTCTCTCCCCGAACAGGGGCACACCGTGCAGCACGACCAGACCACTTCGGCTGCAGTCCGTGTCTTTTCCCCACCATATAGGTTTCATTCGGCCTTTTCTTTTGGCTGCTGCTACCCCTCGAACGATCGTCCTGTTTCTCTGCAACACCCCGCACGGAAAACTTGGCTCGAGCATGGCTTACACTCTGTCGTCTACCCCGGACCGGGTGCCGAACTCTCTCATCCAGTCCGGGGTCTTTACCCGGGACCAATGACAGAACCAAGAGACGTCAATCCTGCTGGCACCTACTTCCCAATGGCCACCCTTTATCCTCATCAGATCAAGTCATGTCCTGTGGATTATTGGGAGATGTGGCTTGGACCCGTAATTCATGGTTTTGCTGTTCGCGCTCATAGGGGCACAGTAGGTAGTTGGAACCCGGCCATCAGAACGCCGGGGGCTGTTCCCTGGACAGGACGACCTAACCGGGTTGTTGCCCGCCTCACCGGTGCAAAGTATGCGGGGCTTTATGTTGAGATGCATCACAAACGAGATCTGCTGCAATGCGACTCGCAGTCGAGGGAGCCATCCAGCATTGGCCTGGTATTATATGCTTGATTCGTATCCTCGTTCCATCCCTCCTCGCTCCCACCTATATGATGGCATCCTCCCTTCCCCTCTTACCCAACCATCATCACTGAGTTTGTTATGTACGTCTTGTCTGCGCTCGATACCCCCAGCACTCAGTCTCCAGCATCCACAAGACCCGCTAGGATGGCCAACTACCCTACACACAAGACAGCCAGAGGAGGTGACGAGACTGGCAGCACGGATGAGAAAGCTGCGTCGGCAAATGTCGAGGACAACAGGCCGCAGACCGTTCAGGCCCCCGCGTTCATCAGGAACCTGACGCCCGGGGAGCGGCAGCAGTTGGAAAAACGACTGAAGAGAAAGATCGATGCTAGACTGCTGCCGGCCATCATCATCATGTACATCATGAATTACATCGACCGGTGCGTTCTGCCCAGCAGCCCAGATTACCGAGACGGCGGGCTGACTGGTCAGAAACAACATTGCCGCGGCTCGACTGGCTGGCTTGGAACGGGATCTCAACCTGACGTCGACCGAATTCCAGACGGCAGTGAGCATCCTCTTTGTTGGGTAAGAGAGAGATGCTTAGCTTTCCCCTCTGCATGCCGTGTTTTTGCTGGTAGACTCACAAACCTGCCCGCCTTCTTTTTTCCAGTTACCTCCTGATGCAGATACCGTCCAACTTGTTCCTCAACAAGTTTGGCAAGCCAGCCATTTACCTGCCTGCATGTGTACGTTCTCGGAGAGGGCCCATCATGCACCTCTGTCCTGTCTCCTGAACATCTCAGCTAACGGTCAGCCTGGTGAATTTTCGAGTGGTAGATGGTCGTCTGGGGCATCATCTCGGCCCTGACCGCCGTGTGCACAAACGCTGCCGGTCTGTTGGCAAACCGCTTCTTTCTTGGCGTTGTCGAAGCCGCCTATTTGTGAGCCTCTCCTAACATAGGAGTCCCCTTCATGACTCACTTTCGGGCCTATCGAGCAAACTAACTCGCCTGCCCCAGCCCCGGATGCCTCTACTACCTCTCGTGCTGGTATACGCGCAAGGAACTCGGCTTCCGGACAGCCGTCTTGTACTCGGGCGCCTTGATCAGCGGCGCCTTCTCCGGTCTCATCTCGGCCGGGGTCACTTGGGGCATGGACGGGACGCGCGGGCTGGGGGCGTGGCAGTGGCTGTTCATCATCGAGGGTGCCGCCACCGTCGTCGTGGCTTTGGGCTGCTACTTTGTCCTGCCCAACTTTCCGCGGACGACCAAGTGGCTGAATGAGGAGGAGATGGCCTTGGCTGTGTGGTAAGGTGAAGTTGATCAGTGAGGAAGAGGGAGCTGACGGCGATGCCAGGCGTCTCCAGGAAGACATTGGCGAGGACGACTGGGTGAATAGCGAACAACAGACGTTTTGGCAGGGCGCGAAGCTGGCCTTCACCGATCCCAAGACGTACATTTTGGTATGTCGCCAGCTCAGGTCGGCTAACACATGCTGACAACTCCCAGCTGGTCCTCCTCTTCTGCATCGTCGCCAGCGGCACCGTCACCAACTTCTTCCCCACCGTCGTCAACACGCTCCAGCAGGGCGCCCTCTCATCGAACGGCGGCAACAACAGCAACGTCATCTCGCTACTCCTAACAGCCCCGCCCTACGTGCTCGCCGTCATCGCCACCTACCTCAACGCGACCCACGCCGACAAGACGGGCGAGCGCTACTGGCATATCACCATCCCGCTCTGGATCGCCGTGGCCGCGTACATCATAGCCGCGACCACCACGCACGTCGCGCCCCGCTACCTGAGCATGATGCTGATGGTCCCTTCGGTCTACTCGGGTTTTGTCGTCGCGCTCGCTTGGATCAGCAATACACTGCCGCGCCCGCCGGCCAAGCGGGCTGCCGCGCTGGCCTTCATCAACGCCGTCAGCAATTGCAGCAGTATCTATGCCTCGTACCTGTACCCCAAGAGCGCCGACCCGCAGTACACGGTGGCCATGATCGTCAACTGCGCGACTGCCTTTGGCGCCGTGTGCGCCGCTACTGTCATGCGGGTTGTCTTGGTGCGGTTAAATAAGAAGTTGGAGGCTGGCGTGTGGGTGGAGGGAGCTATTAACAATGCGCTGCCGGGAGAGGGGGGTGTGAAGAATGGGTTTCGGTTCAAGGTCTAAGGGGTTGGAGGGGGGGGGGGGAGGAAGGCAAGAGGTTGGGGCGTTCTGGAACATCCAAATATGATATCAAACCTGAGGCTGTCGCGGAGTGTCGAATTTTCGTCGACATGGTTCCTGCAGCTTCTTCCGAACAGGGGGGTTTCCAGAGCAACCAGTGACACCTCCTGTCATCACAAGGTCTCGAGCAAAGACGAAAAACGCCTTGCTAGAACAAAACTCCTCAAGGGCCCAAGGTACGGTTGTTTCCCGAAGTCCGATGACCTGGAGCCTCTCGCCAACCCCCTGGAGTCTGAAATAATGCTTATTTGCTGTCGTGATCTCCCTCCAATCTTTGACTTAATGCTTTGTGTACCCAAGTCCTGTCTTTTCCTGTACTGGCAAGCAGCGCTTGATCGCAACGGACGATAGCGTCATCTCAACGCTGAGTATTTTCTGCCACCCAAATAGCCCGAGAGGTCAGTCTCGAAGACACTACCACCCTCCTCCCTTTGCGTAAACATCAGAAGCCAGTGATTGCCGGTTCAGGTCAATTTTGATGATATCGCAGTGCTTTTGTCCAGCCAACACTCAAAGCGTCCAAAAGGTAGGTATTGGTTCGGCCGATAAACCTCCAGGACTTCGTTTCTCCCTGCTGAGTTTCCCACCTTCGCATTCCGCCCACGCACCCACTCCTCTTTCAAGCTTTCATCCGTCTCTCCCGTGGTTCTTTTGAGTTTCCCATCTCTCTTGCCTGAGTCCTGCCAGGGTGCCGGCATCCATCCCAACCCAAATCCCCTAGATGGATTCAGCCCAGAATGATGGATTCGTGGTACGTTCTTGGATATCTGATGCCGTCGCTTGTTTTCCCAAAAGGCAGCAACGTCTAGGACAGAACCAGGTCGTGGATATGCGTCTGCTTTTCGGACCACCTCGAACTCCCTCGTGTTCCCCAGCTGGCTACCGGACCGGAAAGGGGCACAACTAGCATAATGACGTGTGAGCCTTTGTGTCGTCCTTACAAATCCATTCCTCAACCCCTAGCCTTTTCCTGCCGCCAAATGTCCTGTGCTGCAGTGCGCGGAGATGTTCATTCCATTCGACGTATGTCCTCCTCCCTTGTCCATATCAATAGCCCATCGTCGACACCTTCCTCTTGTGTCCCTTGCTCTTCAGTTCAATTTGGGCGTGTCGGCCTCGATCCTCGTCCTTCAGCTTGACATGGGACGGGAACGGCGTGTCGAAGTCGATATCCCAACGGGGTGGAAGTGAATCCGATGTGTTAGGGAGGGACCAGACCGACCCGAACAAAGTGAGGAGAAGTCCCCTTTATACCTTCTTTTCATGCCACCATGTTTGACCAGGCCAGGCGTGATAGGGTCCCCCATCCGGCGACACACCACCTTATGCCTGTGGAACAGTGACGGAGAACAAGGGTGCATGTAGATGTCGATCCGCGGTAAGATCTCATATCGATGGTTGACGGCATGAGGCTACGGAAAAGCCGGGTAGGACGCAATATATCGTGCCCGTTGACCGTTGGCTGCGACGTAACCAGCCGTCGTGTTGCTGCAGTAGGTATCCTCCCCTCCTTTGCGCGCCGTTTAAAAATCCTTCAATGAAATGGGATGCTGGGCTTCCTCTTTGGTGGTGGGCATTAGGAGGGCTTGCGTACCAGGTAAGCTCATTTTTGTTGGAGATGAAGGGCGCTGAAGCCGATGAGGAGCGGTAGGGCGTACGACTCTTCATCCATATGTACCTGGTTGTTGTATTCAACGAGAGAACAAAACAGAAGCAGCCGAGGGGAAGACGACGCGGTGACTTCGGTCTCAGAATATGTCTCGGTACCGACATTTTGACATGCGCCTCTTTGATGGCCACTCCGGGACGCGGATTCCCGGTGCACTCGGGGG